CTCTCTCTCTCTCTCCCTCTCTCTCTCTCTCTCTCTCCTCTCTCTCTCTCTCTCTCTCTCTCTCTCTCTCTCTCTCTCTCTCTCTCTCTCTCTCTCTCTCTCTCTCTCTCTCTCTCTCTCTCTCTCTCTCAATCTCAATCTCTCTGCTTTCTGGTGCGGAGCCCTTGGAGTCCCGGCCCGAAACGGATATCCACAAGCTCCGAAGAGCTGAACTTACCGCCTACGCTGAAGACGCCAACGAGGAACTCGGCCCGGAAAACTTGGGTCAGCTCCGTTCTCCACGTTTCTGGCACTGCTTGGCAGGCCTGTGGGCATTTACTGAGCTCTTCTGAGAGTGCCTGGAGCAGGATCTCCCCGCCTTCTCTTTGAGACGCCAGAACTCTTTGGGACTCAGTCTCCCTTGCTTGCTCAAGCAAGGGCTGGCACCCCTTCACGGCGAAGATGTAGCCGCACCATTTGGGCCACACGCACGGCAGTCAGAGATGGGCGGTATCGGATGTCCAAGCTTGCGCGCTTCCCCCAAGAGCCCCGCACGGGAAAGACACCCACCAGCTCTGCACGAAGCTCTGCCCGGATCTGGCTTGCTTGGCCGCATCCGACATTTTGGATAGGGAGTCCAGATCCTGCATGACCAGGTCATTTAGTTCCGACTTGACCCTCCACAGCTCAGCCTTATCCTGGTTCAACTGCAAGAGGCGGTCATCCAGGGCACGCAGCCCTCAAGAGGCGGTCATCCAGGGCACGCAGCCCCTCCCACCGCGCACGAATGAATTCATCTGTCTAACGCCTTAAAATTTCTAACTAGGTTATTTACCAAGGTCTACTAGTATTTCTTCGGAACCTCCTGGGACAGCCATTGCTCTTACCTCTCTGTTTAGCCTTTCAACTTTTTCCCCCAACTCCTCCTCGACTATAGGACAGTCCGCCAAGCACCTACTCACATATTTAAAATTCGAGTGCCTGAGAATGAGCATCATGTCATTTGCAATATTTCCAGAATTTTCTTGTTTTTCTGGAAGAGAAGAATCAATTTTATTTGAAAAATTTATTTCGCTTTTCTTCATCATTATACTCAAGTCTTATTGCAATCAGTTCGAAGACATATAGATACAAATGTATTGGGGTGTAGTCATTGCGAATTTTATACTCAATATATTTTCCGATAGATCTTACAGAATAATTACACATCTTTGAAATGTGGCTATTTGATTACTTCACCTTCTCAACTTCTCACTTCTATTAAATTTTTGATCGGCAGCAAATACTTGATTTCCGAAAAGAAATTGTTCATCGCATGAGTTTCAAGTCTCCATCAAGCCCCGCAGGAATACAGTGGGAAGGTAATACAATGTATGGAGTAGTACCTTGAAAAAAAGTAACTCAGATTTCTAGATCATTTGAAATAATCTTTTCCAACTTTTTTAGTTTCAGATTCAACTTGAACATTTAGATTTGGTTTTTCTTGTCTATTTCCTTGTGGATGGAAATATTTCCACTAGAAGGAAATGGGCTTGTTGGCATAGGCCTGAGAAGATCATACTTCAATCTCAAACCGATGGTTTCAAGTCTTCAAGCAAATATTTTTCTAGAGTCTCACAAGAGGTAATTGAGAAAAACTAACGTTATGCAGAATATGACTAGCTTTCGACGTCGTAATCAATAGATTGTCTCTCTCTCACGACTCTAGAGACATCAGGTTGGAAGAATAAAGTTTGAAGAAGGAAATAGTTTGTGAAAGTGTAATTTTAAAACAGCTGTTTAGCCTGCTCATCTATTTGGTCTGAAAGGAGTAAGACTTAAAATTTATCAGATCAGTTTTTTCTGAGAAAATTTCAAAAAAATCTTCCATGAAGCGAGTTTACATAATGGATAGAAAGTGATTTTTGAAAAAACAAAGAAAATATCCAAAAGTTCTATTAAGAAATCAAATTAGATCATCCAAATCTTCTGGGAAAAATAAATGTTATGTTTATTTTCAGTCTACAAGATGGTTTCATCAATGCAAGAATTCTCATATAATATTATTGAAAGCAAAGAACTATTTTATTTTAAAAGTCGATGTATATTCTTAGAAGATTATGAAATTGACCCAGTTGGTTTGTGGGCGCCAACAACGGATCCAAATCCGACATAACAAGGGTGTAAAGCTCATCCTTGACCTGCCATAGGCCCGTCTTCGCTTTAACAAGGGCCTGCGTGCGCTCATCCAGGGCTTTCAGCCCTTCCCATCTGGCACGGCCGGTGGCCGACCAATCCGAGAGGCCGTCCTCGAGCTTCGCGGGCCTCCAGCGACATAGGAAAGCGAGGGGGCGGGCTTTGCCTCGACGTCCTCCCGCGCGGAAGCTGCCACTTGTCCACACCCCTTCTTTTGGATAGTAGCGAAGTGGTCCTTCCATGCCTCAAGCTCTTCCCTGCCCGAACTCCGGACCCGCCCCCCACCACGCCTTTCCCCCTTAACGGCTGCCAGCAGTTGGTTCACAATTTTGAACACCATGTGCCTCCGGCGTTCCTGTTTGCGCATCTGCTTCTTTCGCCCGCTCTCTTAACCAGTCCACGCAAACACAGCCTCTTGCATCTTCTGGCCTCGCGCATAAGCCGCCGAAACGTGGCCCGCACAGCGACATCTTCCTTTTCCCCCGCCGCCTCATCCCTTAACATCCCCCTCATCCAGTTCCCGGAGCTCTTTGGCACGCTGCTCCAGCCATGGCGACCCGCCAGCGTCTGGCACCACTCCGCACACTTCCAAAGCCCCGCGACAAAACCTCTCCTACTTGTAAGCCTCATCTATTGTTCCTGTCTTAGATCCCTTCGTCGACTTTCCACCAGCCTCTGTCACCTTTCCCGAAGCTCCTTTGCTTGGCGATCTGAACCGCGCACTTGCGCCAGGTCCGGGGTTTGTTTGGAGGCTTCGGCCTTTTTTGGACCTCCACCACTTCCCCACCCGCAACACACATTCAACCGGATTATGATCTGTATAGCCCGTCCATGAGCCCTTAACACTAAGACTGTCATATACGATGCGACAAGACGTGAGATGCCAAAAGTTCTGCTCCCTGAGCAGAAGATGTCCACGCGGTAACGACGATGCTGCCATGTGCAACGGCGCCGCTGCGCCCGCCTCTCGAAACCCTCTCCCCATACACCAGTCCCGCTGCTCCACTCCCGCCGTTGTCAGCTTGGTTCCGCGAAAGGGCCCACTATCGTGTACCCCGCCCTGCTCTCATCTACATTGTTGCCCAGCTCAGGGAACTTGCTGGTGATCTCCGGGTTGATGCATCCCATTGCAGGCGGCGGCGGTAGACGCCCTCGCCCTCGAAAGAGCATGTCGTAGCCAAAGACGAAATGTACCACAGCCAAGTGCAAAAAACAACCCAAGGTCTAAACCTAAAGAAAACACTAAGACCCAAGAAATAAAGGCCACGTGCAAGCAGCGTCAGCAGCCGGACTTGACTGAAATCAGATGCTGGAGCAAGTTACACACATGCAGTCTATCCAAATTCCAACAGCTGTGGCTGAGAAATGTCGAGGCAGGCGACACGTGTGCAGGACAGCCCAAACTCATTAGACCTACAAAGGCAGGCAACCCCACATTGTACAGAAGCACAGGGCGGAAAGGCGAGCTTAGTGCTCAGAAGCGCCCACACGCAGGTGCAAGAACCTAACCAGGAATCCGCCCAGTCGCAATGCGCCCGTGCTTGAGCTCCGTGGCCCGTCGGCGCTTGAAGTTCTCGACGCTGCCGTCCGCACCTGGGGAGGTGAAAGCTCCTGGGAGCTTCTGCGAGCTGCCAGGGCACCCCCAACCCTTGCCGCGCCCTTTGCCTGCATCTCTTTCTTCACCGTTCACCAGAGAGGCAAAAAAACTCCTAACCAAAACCTGGAAGAGGAGCTCGCGAAGTCCCGAACCACCTCGTCGTCACCCATGTAATCCCCGGGCCCCAAACATCCCGACACGTCACAAACTCTGCAAGCCAGGTTGCTAAGGCCGGCGGGATCCCAGAATCCCACGGGCGCCTGCACGCCGAGCTCGCTCTCGAACGCCTGCCGATGTCGCTAAGCCTACGCCTCGTAGGGAAGGGTGATCTTGGCCGATTCTCTTTGGGGGTGAAGTTTCTGAAAGTCATCTGAAGACTTACGCCTGTCCTGTAAGGTCAGGGTTTATACTTATTAACTTATTAGTCTGAACAGGGGCTGAACAAGGACATGGGCGTTGCCTTGCAGCGTCATCATGACAGAGGGCGCTGCAAAGAGCACAAGAACTTCAAGACGTGAGAGCCTGAAGCAAACCGAAGGATCCCGCCTTCCAGAAGGAGCTGGGGTTGCCGGCCCAGTAGCCCCAGGGGGATCCAGTGATTCCGTCCTGGAAGAAGAGGCCAATGATGCCCACCATGGCCAGGCGGCCGTTGGCAAGCTCGGAGTTCAACTTCTTCTTCTTGATCTCCGGATCGTCGGAGGTGAGCACCTTCCAGCCGAAGTCCCCGTCGTAAGGCTTGGTACCGGGGTCCTGCTTCTGAGAGATCTCGCAGAAGGACATGTAGGCCAAAATCTGTGCCCAGCCTGCCACAGGCACCTTGCTGATGGCCGCAAGGCCGTTCGGGACATCAGCGAACTTGATGTCCATGGATGGGGACAAGTAGCCTGGGAACTTACCAGTGATCCTCGGCAGACAACACTCAGCTTCGCAGCCGTGCGATTACTTTCCTAAACACTCCAGGATTGTCCACTGAAGGACGTGAGTGCCGTTCTGAAACCATTTAATCAGACTGAGTGGCTCCGGGGTCATGTAACCCATCGTCGCAAGCATCGCCTTAAGGCTTGAAGTTGTAAGGCGAAACCCTCAAGCCTTAACCTGCAGTTGGAGCAGCCTCTTCAAAGCCTTCCGAGCAAAATCGGCGAAATCCAAAACAATGAAAACACGTCTTGTCCAGCAGAGACGGGTCGCGATTCTGCCATGCTTGAGTTCGGTGGCGCGGCGGCGCTTGAAGGCATCGACGTCGCCGTCCGCAGTGAAGCCGATGGGGTCCCAGAACCCGAAAGGCGACTGCACAGAAGCTGTTCAAGGCGGGCTTGCAAAACGTAAGCTAAACGAGCACTTCGTTCTCGGAGGCTCACGAGCAGGAAGAAGAAGCGCAAGCACGTGGCGCGTAGTACGAAATGAGCACGTACAGCACGTAGTACGCAGCACGTAATGCACTACGTAGGACGAAGTACGTAGGACGTAGTGCGAAGGACGTATATAGGGAGAAGGCGAAGCAATCCGTCCATTGGAATGCTTAAGACGAAGTTTAGGAATGTGACCCCTCGTTCCACAACCGACTGCCCGACAGAGGGGCGACCTGCACGCCGAGCTCGCTCTCAAAGGCGCTGACGACCACCTGGCACATACATGGGTACCCACATGCACATACCCACAAACAGTCGACCATCCTGTTCCCAAAACCCTAACGCCAGCACCTTTACGCCTGCACCCTGTTGGATCCACTGCACCCTGAGACATTGTCCCACCTGGGACTTGCGGCTGTAGTTGGCCTGGGCTTTTCGGGCTTGAGGCTCTGCCCAGCCAAGCTGCTTTCACAGATTCCCCCTGAGAAAGAACCTTCGAAATACCCAAGCCGCCCAGGCTCCCACCCCCCTCCTTTTGCCTTCCGGCAAGAGTCATGACAGCCGCGTTGTCTAACCATACCCAAAAACGAACAGGTCTCTAGAACACTTGGAGCGAAATTCGGGGGCCAACAACTCAGGAGACTTGGGATTTGAGGAGGGTCCGCTTTGTTGCCTTGTGTTCACTTTGATATCTTGCATTGTTCCAAACTGCGACGTCAGCGAAGCCTCCTAGCCCCAAACAAAGTGAACACTCCATTCGAGATGCTACGAGTACACACTCCAGCTGGATCCCAACGCTATCCTTTCAAACTCCCTGGCTCCTCTGGGCCGCGGTCCTTGCCACGAAGCTGAGACGCTAGGAGAGCCTGCCGGCATATCCAAGGGTGAGGATCAAGCCTGAACTAAAACTTGAGCAAAATTCAGCCAAGAACAACAAACGACTCATCTGCGTTCCATCGACGTGTGTTGATGTGGCCCATTGCCAAGGTTTCCTGTCTAGGTGGCTTGCGAGGTATGGCATCCGGCTTGCTTGTTCGGGGCTTGGACATGTTCTATAAGATGTTAATGCAGTATAGGAATTGTACAATCCTCTGGGCAAAGGGTGAGTCTCAATAGCTGCATGCGACGAGTGCAACTACAACAACGTTGCGGAACATGTGACCAGTCAACACCGCCGAAACTTCACATTCCGGACGGACGGACGCCGAGTGCCCATTCTTTGCGGGACACCTTTCAGGATGGGCGCACAAAACACCTCGGGCCCAACTTCGGCGCATCGCCATATCTGCATTCCACGCGGAAGGGTCAGACTGGCGCGTGGAAGCTTTCAGCAGGACATCTGGTGTGGAAGGAATGCCCAAGCAAGACCTGAAGCGTGTCTTCATGCATTCTCAAGACACGAGCCTCCCCACCAATGTCCCAGGTGAAACCCAGGCCCCAGGACCTTTCTATGCAAATCCCCAGGCCAAGTGGCTGATGCCGAAGCCGCAGCCGTGCACCCCAGAAGGCTTGACGAGCTGCTACCTGGTCTCAGCCCACACGCAGATTCCGTTTTGGTTCCCGTTTGAGGATTTCCGGATTTGGGGGTTGTTCTTTCGTCGCTCTGTAGGGCAAACAGGAAGATGGACAAGCAGAATCATAGCTTAGCGTGCCCACTGTACAAGTAGCCTAAAATTTGGCATTGGAAGTTCCAACAGTGATGCCACGAGCATGCTGGATGCTTTTTGTGCTTTGAAGCACAGCCTGATGGATGGATATTAACATATTTGGCAGCTGAAATATGTTGTAATCACTTGCAGCTCCTGGCGGGGAACTTTCCAATTGCCAACCAAGCCCGCCCTAGACCTTCGTTAACTCAACTCTTCCATTTTAACCCAAGCAGGATTGCATGCAAAGCGTCCTTGCAAGCTACATGTGCCGTGGGGTGGCTGTCCTCTTTCACCCACACGAGAACATCTCTTAAGGAAAAGCACCATGGGATGACGATAGGACGCAGGCTTTGCAGGCATGCATGGTGCTTATGTTTTGGGCAGTACGTTAGGACAATTCAGCAGCGTCGTTTCTGGTGGCTACGAGAAAAAAGAGTAACCCCAGGCGTTGATGAGCTGAATGCGCCTTTGCCGCTCGTCTGCGCCGCCACTATTCGGCCACGCAGCTGAGTGCTGCTTCTTTCTGGGGCAGCCTGCATTCAAGTCGACCCCAGAACGTGTCCTGAAAATCCCTCGGTTTCTGAAAATCCCAGCCGCAAGCCTAGCCGCAATGTCTCTGAACACCCAAAACTCCTATCCACCAGCCACCCTCAGTTTGGCGGCTCATCCCTGTTCTTTGGCTGCCCAAGGAGACGAGCGTTTGCAGCTGTGCCCTCTCAAAGCCGCCTCGCCCTCGACCCTCACCATAAGGGCAACATCTAGGGCCCAAACCCTATATAAACTTGCCCCCTAAATACGAACCCTATAAAACCTGGAAACCCCATAAACCTCAAAGGCCTTTAGGCCTTAACCACATGCTATAAATTTACCCTGAATCTGAACCCTATAGACCTGTACCCCAAACACTGAATCTAAAGGATTATATCTAAAGCCCCTCATCCTAAACTCCCCGTCCCGAATGCCACAGCTTCTCCACAGCGGGGAGGGAAGGGGGGGGGGAAGGAAATAAGGGATTTTTACAACCAGATTGGCTACATTACAACCAGAACAGGCATTTTGCAGCAGGAAAAGCACCAGGAGGGATAATTTTCAACGGAGAATTTCATCCAGGCATCAAAACAGGGTGAAATTACAACCAGCTTACTTGAGACTTGAGGGGCTTGGGTTTAGGAGTTTTAGACTTGGGTTTGGGATTTTAAGACTTGAGGGGTTTGGGTGTAGGAGTTTAGACGTAAGGGGTTCGGGCTTCAGAAGCTTGACTTGAAAAGTTTGAGTTTAGAAGATTAGGTTTGAGGGGTTTGGGTGTAGGAGCTTTGGGTGCGAGTTTAGAGTTGAGGCTTTGGATTGAATAGAGCGGGCCTCATGTATAGGACCTTTTGGAGCTTTGGGTGCATTATCGTCTAATTAGTCCTGAAAGTTCAGGCTGCCAATTTGAGCTTTAATCTAGATCAACCTGCAAGGAAAAGGGGGATTGGGACGGGATTTAGTGCTTAGAATTAAAGAGTTTCTGGGGACAGCCCCCAAAGGCTTACAAGCACACGTCCCGCCCTGGGCCTGACCGGCTGGACTGCTCTGCACGAAGGCCTCGAAAGGCGTTGAACCGAACCGAAGCCCTCTCATGTCCAAAAAACTCACAAACCCCAAAAAAGGCTTTGCCGTGTAGTATGTTCCACTCTGTTTCCCTTTCGGTCGGATCGCTGCCACTCCCACTGCTATGGCCAACGTATGCTAGCAGCTTTCCTTTCTTTGGTATCCAAAGCCTAACACAACAACCTAAAGCATCCCCAAGTCCCCACATGTCCCCACGAGCTCTGGACATCCCAGGCCCCCGTCCCACCCAATGCACAATTGAAGGCTTCCTGCGGCCCCAGGGGCCGTGGAGGCCAACGTGGCCGCCGCGCCTGCGGCGACAGCCATGGCAGTCTTCTGGCCTTCGCCGGGCTCTCGGATTTTCGGGTTTCCGGATTTTGGGGTTTATAGGGCTTCAGGGGGAAGCAAAGCTTGTAGCTCCAGGGTTTCAAGTTCCGGGACTTGAGGTTGACGTCAAGGCTGCAAATACTCAGACATTTCGGGGGCTGGGGAGTTTGGAGACCGGGCCGGGGATTCATCGTGGTCGGGGTCCGTGGTATCCATGTGAGGGCAGAAGAAACAGGAACGGCAACTTGAAACTCAACACGCCATCACCCGACACGATGGCCGGAAAATTTCGGAAACATCCTGGCATGAGGTGTACAAGGTCAGACACCGGCACCTCTCTCACTCTCACTTATCCACAATCCCAATACCTGTCCTGACCGGGTCGTGGCCTGGCCTCACACCGACCCCGGGTTAGGGGCAGAGGGATCCAAGACATGCGGGCAACTCTTCATGAAGACATCTCGCAGCCAACAAGCCCTCGTCTCCCAAGCTTGCCGATGCCTTGCAACAACTTCCGAACTGAAAGTTCAAGCCCAGCCCTGCGTTGCAGCCAGTACTGCAGCCCTTTTTGCTGGGGCCCCTGCTGGAGGGCATTGCAGGAACTGGGTGGAAAACTAAAGAAATCCTCAGTATCTGCAAAGAGCCGCAGCCTGCGGATCGAAGAGGCTCCCATAGGCTGATGCGTTCCCCTTAGGAGTCTGAAGCTTGATGAGGCTTGGGTTCTTTATCCGCGCTTTGGGACGGCAAAGCCTGCTCAGCTCACCCCTTCTTTTCCGAGCCTGTGCTCTGTACACTGGCCACAGCGGGTCAGGTGCGGGGTCAATGGGTCGTGTTTGGGGGACTTGGGTTTCGGCCGCAGGTGTCGCCAGGACAACCACGGCAAGAAAGTTAAAATACACCCAGCAAGGCAAAGTGGGCTGCTAGTAGCGCTCTTGCGCCAGGGCTTGAATCGATTTAAGTTAATCGCTCACGCAAGGCCGAACTGCTCGATGGCGTCCTTGCCCGTGTAGACGTTGGCGGCGATGATGCCGATGGCTGCGAACATGGCCATGCGGCCGTTGTTGATCTCGCGGTTGCGCATCTCCAGCGTGTACTGGCCCAGGCCCGCGGGGTCGCCGAAGTTGCCCGGCTCCTTGGAGGGGTCCTCAGTCCAGGCGCCCAGCTCCAGCAAGCCCGAGACCGCGAAGAGCGCCGCGAAGCCATAGGTGCCCGGCGGGACCTCCACGGCGCCGAGTCCGGCAGGCACGCTGTCGAAGCCCGGGAACTTCACGTAGTGCTGAACGACGGCACCCACCGCGGCCATCATCGCAACCCTGCCATGCTTAATCTCGGCCGCTCGCAAGTTGCGGAAGCCGGCCTTGTCGCCCTTCTTGCAGAAGCCAGCCGGGTCGAAGTATCCGAAGGGCTCGGTCACGCCCACCTCGGTGGCCGGGTCGAAAGTGGGCTCGGGGGGGACCTCCTCGCCCTCACCGCTCAGGGACTTGCCGGTGCCGGCGCCGATGCCCGTGGTGGCCGCGGCGGTCTTCGCTCCCGCGCTCGCGCCGGCCTTGGCTGCTGCGGCCTTGGCTGCGGCCGCAGCCGCGGCCGCGGACACGGGCTCGGCTCGGAGCGGCGACGCCGTGTAGTTGGCCCAGTCACCCCAGGCGCTGCCGGTCAAACCGTCCTGCGACACGCGTGAAAAGCATGAGCTACGTGAGCGGCTCCAGTTCAGCTCCGGCATCAACGAAGTCACATGATATCACTTTCTACCTAAAGCTTTTGAACTTTACGCACGAGTCACTAACACACCCCACTTCATGTTTCGCTCTTTCGTTCTGTGCACTCACGCCACTACCACATGTAGGGGACTATAACGGGGTTTGGGAGGGGTTCCCTCATAGTGGGTTGGATGTCCCTGATCTCAAAGGCCGGCCAACCCCATGAATCACATAACTAGTTGATTGCGCATGTCAAATATTTTGTTGAGATGAACCAGCAGCAGCTGGCTACTGCCAGGTGTCTCATTATGTAGGGGGTTGCGACGTGAATGCACAAAGAAATGCAACAGCTACCCCAATGGTTACGGTTCGGAGAAGTGTGGGCTTTGGAAAGTCCTGGAAGAACATGCCAATGATGGCCATCATCGCAAGCCTTCCGTTGGCCAACTCTGCTGACAACTTCTTAGTCTTCTCAGCAGGGTCGCTGGAGGTCAAGACCTTGAAGCCGAAGTCACCGGCTGCGGCCGGAGTTCCGGCGGACTGATCCTGGGAGACCTCGCAGAAAGCCATGTACGCCAAGATCTGTCCCCAGCCTGCGGCGGGAACCTTGGAAATTGCGGCCAATCCATTGGGGACATCGGCGAATTTCAAGCCTGCTGATGGGGACAGATAACCAGGGAACTTGCCCGTGATCCTTGGTCAACTATGTCGATGTAACATAGACATTGCAATTCAGATTGAGCAATTCTACTGCGTACGCTAGGATTGCGCGTATGCATCTGAGTTGCTCAGGGGTAATGTATCCCATTGCCGCGAGCATCGCGATGCGGCCGTGCTTGATCTCAGTCTGGCGGCGACGCTTGAAGTCCTCCACGCTTCCATCGGCCGTAAAACCGGCGGGATCCCAAAAGCCGACAGGATCCTGGACGCCGAGCTCATTCTCGAAGGCACGCAGCGGAGAGGCAGTGTAGTTGGCCCAGTCACCCCAAGCGCTGCCAGTCAAGCCATCCTTCGCATGGACATCGTTTTGCGACATGCATGCACGGAAAAATGCCCGATGCTCCATGCAACAGCTACCCCAATGTTTACGGTTCGGAGAAGTGTGGGCTTTGGAAAGTCCTGGAAGAACATGCCAATGATGGCCATCATCGCAAGCCTTCCGTTGGCCAACTCTGCTGACAACTTCTTAGTCTTCTCAGCAGGGTCGCTGGAGGTCAAGACCTTGAAGCCGAAGTCACCGGCTGCGGCCGGAGTTCCGGCGGACTGATCCTGGGAGACCTCGCAGAACGCCATGTACGCCAAGATCTGTCCCCAGCCTGCGGCGGGAACCTTGGAAATTGCGGCCAATCCATTGGGGACATCGGCGAATTTCAAGCCTGCTGATGGGGACAGATAACCAGGGAACTTGCCCGTGATCCTTGGTCAACTATGTCGATGTAACATAGACATTGCAATTCAGATTGAGCAATTCTACTGCGTACCCCCTAGGATTGCGCGGATGCATCTGAGTTGCTCAGGGGTAATGTATCCCATTGCCGCGAGCATCGCGATGCGGCCGTGCTTGATCTCAGTCTGGCGGCGACGCTTGAAGTCCTCCACGCTTCCATCGGCCGTAAAACCGGCGGGATCCCAAAAGCCGACAGGATCCTGGACGCCGAGCTCATTCTCGAAGGCACGCAGCGGAGAGGCGGTGTAGTTGGCCCAGTCACCCCAAGCGCTGCCAGTCAAGCCATCCTTCGCATGGACATCGTTTTGCGACATGCATGCACAGAAAAATGTCCGATGCTCCATGCAACAGCTACCCCAATGTTTACGGTTCGGAGAAGTGTGGGCTTTGGAAAGTCCTGGAAGAACATGCCAATGATGGCCATCATCGCAAGCCTTCCGTTGGCCAACTCTGCTGACAACTTCTTAGTCTTCTCAGCAGGGTCGCTGGAGGTCAAGACCTTGAAGCCGAAGTCACCGGCTGCGGCCGGAGTTCCGGCGGACTGATCCTGGGAGACCTCGCAGAAAGCCATGTACGCCAAGATCTGTCCCCAGCCTGCGGCGGGAACCTTGGAAATTGCGGCCAATCCATTGGGGACATCGGCGAATTTCAAGCCTGCTGATGGGGACAGATAACCAGGGAACTTGCCCGTGATCCTTGGTCAACTATGTCGATGTAACATAGACATTGCAATTCAGATTGAGCAATTCTACTGCGTACGCTAGGATTGCGCGTATGCATCTGAGTTGCTCAGGGGTAATGTATCCCATTGCCGCGAGCATCGCGATGCGGCCGTGCTTGATCTCAGTCTGGCGGCGACGCTTGAAGTCCTCCACGCTTCCATCGGCCGTAAAACCGGCGGGATCCCAAAAGCCGACAGGATCCTGGACGCCGAGCTCATTCTCGAAGGCACGCAGCGGAGAGGCAGTGTAGTTGGCCCAGTCACCCCAAGCGCTGCCAGTCAAGCCATCCTTCGCATGGACATCGTTTTGCGACATGCATGCACGGAAAAATGCCCGATGCTCCATGCAACAGCTACCCCAATGTTTACGGTTCGGAGAAGTGTGGGCTTTGGAAAGTCCTGGAAGAACATGCCAATGATGGCCATCATCGCAAGCCTTCCGTTGGCCAACTCTGCTGACAACTTCTTAGTCTTCTCAGCAGGGTCGCTGGAGGTCAAGACCTTGAAGCCGAAGTCACCGGCTGCGGCCGGAGTTCCGGCGGACTGATCCTGGGAGACCTCGCAGAACGCCATGTACGCCAAGATCTGTCCCCAGCCTGCGGCGGGAACCTTGGAAATTGCGGCCAATCCATTGGGGACATCGGCGAATTTCAAGCCTGCTGATGGGGACAGATAACCAGGGAACTTGCCCGTGATCCTTGGTCAACTATGTCGATGGAACATAGACATTGCAATTCAGATTGAGCAATTCTACTGCGTACCCTAGGATTGCGCGCATGCATCTGAGTTGCTCAGGGGTAATGTATCCCATTGCCGCGAGCATCGCGATGCGGCCGTGCTTGATCTCAGTCTGGCGGCGACGCTTGAAGTCCTCCACGCTTCCGTCGGCCGTGAAACCGGCGGGATCCCAAAAGCCGACAGGATCCTGGACGCCGAGCTCATTCTCGAAGGCGCGCAGCGGAGAGGCGGTGTAGTTGGCCCAGTCACCCCAAGCGCTGCCAGTCAAACCATCCTGGAAGAACCTCGACAGAAACAAGCAACTCGACAACATCAGCACGAGCATTGCTGGCTGTTGTTAAAAAACATGCAAGAAAGGCAACAGCATGCAACAGCTTCAACACGCAGATGCGGCTCAAGCGCATGCCGATAATGGCCATCATTGCCAGTCGGCCGTTAGCCAACTCCGCGCTCCTCAATGGCGATGACAGTCTGGTAAAGTTGCTACGACAAAGAGACAGCTCGGAAACAAAACTTCTCTTAACACAACCCAGGCTCAGCTTCTTGGTCTTCTCGGCCGGGTCGCTGGAAGTGAGCACCTTGAAGCCGAAGTCTCCCGCGTAGGCCGCGGTGCCCGGCTCCTGCGTCTGGGAGGCCTGGCCCAGGAGACAAAACGTACCATCCGCATATATCATTAACCTGGATACCACGTGCAAGAAGTAGTACCGGCAAAGACCCCAAAAAGTTTTGGGGGCACCTCCCATCCAGACCCGCGGGCCCTTAACTCCAGAGCTGACCCCAAACGTTGCTGTTCGAGCAATACGTGAACAGCATTGATCATTGAGGAGCTTTGAGCTACAAGTGAAAAAAGCAGATTGAAGGCCGACTCTCGAATCTCTCGGAAGAGATCCACATGATACACTCATTGCGCAGGGAAAGCTCAAGGATGCCGAATTTTGGGGCTTCACCCTGCAAGGAGCTGTCTATGGCTCCCTTGCTTTGGGCCCACGTTTGGGGCTTTCCCGAAACTACGAGCACCGGCTGACATCGGCTCACATGCCCCATTCAAAGCCCTTCACATCATGCGGAGCCTCGCAATAGGCCATGTACAGCAGGATCTGGCCCCAACCAGCCTGAGGAACCTCGCGCACTGTCACAATGGTGGAGAGAGAAAACCAGCCCCCAGCACCTCCAGATTTCTCTCAAAGCGCCTTTGGTGTTGGGCCCTCAAGACGAACAGAGAGTGCCCCTCAGGGCTGAAAACTAGCAGCTTCAACCCCAGGATGACCCACTGAAAGAGAGGGCGGGGATTTTTTTGTTTCCACGAGAGAGAGCGAGAAAGAGATAGAGCGAGAGAGAGACAGAGAGAGAGCGAGAGAGAGACAGAGAGACAGAGAGAGAGAGAGAGAGAGAAACAGATAGAGATGGAGCCTCGATGCTTTCGTGATTGGACGGCCAAGTTTAGGGAACGATTAAGTTTAAATATTTCTTGCCCTCCCATGGTCCTGGCATAAATCATCTCTTGGAGGCCTCGATATCAAAACGGATCATTTTGGGGTTGAGGCACCTTGGAGAGTGCTGCCAGGCCATTAGGCACATCCGCGAATTTCAGTCCAGCAGATGGGCTCAAGTAGCCCGGGAACTTGCCCGTGATCCTCAGATCAAGGCTGCCATCACAGCTCGTTCTCAGATGGCCGCGATGAATCCCCAAACTCTCCAAGCTCTCAACTCCGCTCTTTAACGGCCGAAAACAGCAAATTATGCCGGCGTAGGCCCCAAACAGTTCTGGAGGGCCAGAAGAGGCCAAAGGCGGACACAATCTAAGTGGCCCCCCAGAAAGAGGCCAGGAGAGGCAAGCGTCGAAACGAAGGCCCCGCCCCACCGCGGCCCGCAACCTAAGTGGCCCCTACAGAAGAGGCCTGAAGAGGCCACAAGCGGCTGGAATTGCTTCGCGGGAAGCCACAGCGCGGGAGCATCGAAACGCAACGGAATTCGCGAAACGGAACTCGCGCGAAACCACAGCGGGAGCCTGCCCCACCGCGTGCGCCGCTGCGGCCCGCAACCTAAGTGGCCCCCAGAAGAGGCCAGAAGAGGCCGGAATTCGCGCGAAACCACAGCGGGAGCATCGAAACGCAACGGAATTCGCGCGAAACCACAGCAGGAGCGTCGAAACGAAGGCTCCATCGAAACGCAACGGGATTCGCGCGAAACCACAGCGGGAGCATCGAAAAGACCGTTGCGGCCCGCAACCTCAGTGGCTCCCCCCAGACTAGGCCAGAAGAGGCCAGAAGAGGCTGGAACAGGCCAGAACAACCGGAATTCACGCGAAACCACAGCGGGGGCATCGAAACGCAACGGAATTCGCGCGAAACAACACCGGGAGGGTCGAAACGCGCCGTTGCGGCCCGCAACCTCGCCCGCAACCTAAGTGGCCCCCCCAGAAGATGGCCAGACGTGAAACCACAGCGGGAGCGTCGAAACGCAACGGAATTCGCGCGAAACCACAGCGGGAGGGTCGAAACCAAGGCCCCGCCCCACCGCCGCGTGCGCCGTTGCGGCCCGCAGCCAATTCCTTTACCCTGAACCAAGAACCCCATTGCGCAAGCACTGTTTGGGGAAAAACTAAGCGCAGCCCTCCATCCCTCAATCTGAACCCAGAGAATAAAAAAAACATCGACTGTCGTGACTTTAGGACTTCGGGAGGTTGCGCAAGCAACTCAGTCAGTAAGGCGCTTACAGCCGCCCTCGCGCGAGCCAGAACTTCACAACTAATTTTAAAAAGTGTGTAAGAACAAACCCGAAACCAAGCCACCATTACCAGGAAGGAAAAAACTTATTACACGCAACACACATCACATGAAAGCTCGTCACACGTAACATGTTCCATGTAACAATTTTGGGACGGACGGTACCAACATGTTCGACAAACCGGACGGTACCGGTTGCCACTCCCAAAGCAAGACGGCACCGACTCTTTCACATTCCCGGGTATAAATGAAACGACCCATTATTTGTTAAGACAAGAAAAGCGCGTACGCTTAATAGCCAGCAGGGAGCCAACCCTTTGCTTGTGTTCGCACTGCGCGGAAACCGAAAAAGTTGCGTTGCCAACCGCTTGCCCGTCGCCCTGTCCCATCGCCTTTGCCCTTGCCACCGGCACCCTGACCGTGGGAATTAAGATGTAATACTGTGTTCTCAAGAGCGACCGCGTCAGAGTCGCCTGCAAGGTGGACACAGGAGACTTCGGAATGCGCAAATCGCGAGCGCCTTGACCCCACATCAGAAGTCGCAAGCAAAGCGAAACACATCCTGGCGTGCTGGACAGCCATCTCTCTCTCTCTCTCTCTCTGTCTCTCTCTCTCCCTCTCCCTCTCCCTCTCCCTTCCCTCTCCCCCTCGCGCCCCTCCCCCTCCCCCTCTCCCCCCCCCCCCCCTCTCCCCCTCTCCCCCTCTCCCCCTCTCTCCCTCTCTCCTCTTCCCCTCCCCTCTCTCCCTCTCTCTCCCTCACTCCCTCTCTCCCTCTCTCCTTCTTCTTCTCCCTCTTCTTCTCCCTCTTCTTCTCCCTTCTTCTTCTCCCTCTTCTTCTCCCTCTTCTTCTCCCTCTTCTTCTCCCTCTTCTTCTCCCTCTTCTTCTCCCTCTTCTTCTCCCTCTTCTTCTCCCCTCTTCTCCCTCTCTTCTTCTCTCCCTCTTCGTCTCCCTCTTCTCCTCCCTCTTCCCTCCCTCTCTCTCTCCTCCTCCTCTCCTCCTCCCTCCTCTCCTCCTCTCTCTCCTCCTCTCTCTCCTCCTCTCTCTCCTCCTCTCTCTCCTCCTCTCTCTCCTCCTCTCTCTCCTCCCTCTCTCTCTCCTCCCCATCCTCCTCTCCCTCCTGCTCCTCCTCTCCTCCTCTCCTCCTCTCCTCCTCTCCTCCTCTCCTCCTCTCCTCCTCTCCTCCTCTCCTCCTCTCCTCCTCTCCTCCTCTCCTCCTCTCCTTCTCTGCTTCTCTCCTTCTCTCCTTCTCTCCTTCTCTTTTTCTCTTTCCGGAAGACTGCCTGCGCAGCTCCACTGCGACCCAAGTCGGCAGAAGCAATTGCGGCCCACCAGACCGCTCGGTGCACTTTGGACCGCATTTCGCACATACTCCACAAAGGCCTGCCAACGCAGCGGTCGCTCTTTTGGACGCTGCGCGACGGGCGGGTTGGCGTTTCTCTGCTAAACTCCCCCACTCACGCTCGAGCTTGGTCTTGAGCTCACCTTGGACGAAGAACACCAGGGGTCGCTTGGAGCTCTCGTCGCCCTCGTCGGCCACCCGGAACGCGGCAGCGTTTGCGAGGGCAGCTGTGGCCTGAAGTCGTTCTTCCACATCGGCCAGACGCGACTCGAAGTTGCGGTCTCCCCCATCGAGGTCCCGAACGTCCCGGGAGTCACGGTCACGCTCACGATCGCGGCCACGATCACCACGTTTCCACGGCGCGCCAGCGGCGCGTGGAAGAAGAGGTGTCGCCGCCCATTGGCGGCATTCCTCCGCACTGTGTCCTGCGTCCCAGTGCACACGCTGAAACAAAACCCCAACGAACGTGAGCCCTCACATTGCATTGAAAACATGCACCCTTGCAAACAGCTGGACATGCAACCATGCAAAAAAAGCGAATAACCAAACTAAACAACAAAGGTATCTTAACAACCAACGTAAACGACTGAAACTTTCACCCCGCAAGGGACTACCAGAAGCACAAGGGCCTTGCAAGGTACAAACAAAGCAGGCCGTGCGACAAAACCACAGCAAACTGGGCTGAAGAAGTGGGGAGGAGGGGGAGCACCAAAAGAGGCAACCACAAAAAGACAAGGAGGGGAGGAAAAACAATCCACGGACACAAAGCACAGAGGACAGAGGAGAGCCAGAAAACCAAAAGAAATCAGACCAAGACAGAGGAGAGGGACCACCGTACCAAGACGTTCACCCTCCCGCCCAGAAAACACCCAAACAACAACAACGAAGCTGCAGGGACAGCGCCCTGACAGCACTGAAGACTGCGGGACGGGATCCGTGTCGACCCGTAGGGACGGCACCCTAGGGCACTGCAAGAAAAATTGACACAACACACATCCTTTACCCGCTGCGCTCCCTCCGAGTCACGTAGGACCACCTGGATGGGCCGCACGGCCGAGGCTGACTGCGTTCACCATTTCCGGTAGCTTAGCTGCTTCCTCCAGGCCCTCCTTATCCATACCCTTGAAGGCGTCTGCCACTTGGATCTTCCAAGGCCGCGGGCGTTCCGTCGGCCGCTGGTCAGGCGGCGCCTTGGAGGTTTCCTGCCACCTGCCGGAGCTCCATGAGCTTCCCTTTCAAGGCCCCCTTCACGAAGAAGACAAGTAACTTCTTTGCAACTTCGATTCCCTGCCACTGTGAAGTCTGTACGCTCAGCCTTGCTATGTCCTCTGCAAAGGTGTTCACTCCATTCTGACCGGTCATGGACCTTCTCCAGCTCCCTCTCTAATTCTGAGACACGTTCGCTGGTTGACGGAGGCATTGCTGAAAAGGGGTACGAGACCTATCGAACACTGCTGCTTGAACCTTCAGGTTACGGCCATGTGTCATAAACGTGTTTGCGAAGCCGATGCAAGGAGTACACATGCGAGGTTTGGAACTCCGGCACTGGCTCTACTCCTTCTTTTTGGCACTATGGGCATTTCAACGGAAACTGTAACAGACGTGCAGCATGTGAGTGATTGACATGCATGCGGGCGCTGGACCGACCAGGAAAGTATGCATCACACTCACAACAAATGCAGGGGGACGCCCCGTCCTCATGGAGCTTCAAATGCTTGGTGAGGCCCCGCTCGTCGTCGAACACCCTTGGACACAGCCTGCAACTCCAAACCCTGTCCCGATACGTCCCCTGCCGATGAGAACGTAGCACATGACGGGCCATGTCCGATTTCCGCGAGAACCGCTGGCCGCACGCCTTGATTGGACAAAAACAACAGTTGCTGATCTCGGAAAATACAGCACGGTCCTGGACAAAAGGAAAAAACCCAGCACCAGCTAGTCAGGCTGATACCAGTGTCTGTCAAGGGCAGATGAAGGGGTTGTCCCCTGTCCGCAGACAGGAAGAGCCTGGACCCCCTATCCAGCCCCATGCCCGGCGCCCTCCCGTTGGCCCCACGGTAAAAAGAAACAGACGACCGAGCAACAACCAACTACCGCGGGTTCCGTGCGTTGAGGGGAAACAACAAGTGACAACAACAGCCATCACAACCCACAAAACAACCGTCCTACGCCTGATATGTCCTTCCCCACGCTTGAGGCGGGAGGTCCACAAAATCGCAAAGCTTCAGCTCAGAATTCACGCTCACATGGGGACAAAATAGACACATTGTAGGAGAAAAACCAGAAAACGCAACCATCAAACACAGCAAGTGAGAAACACATACAACCAGAACGCAACCGGCGGGGCGAACCGGGCGTAGAAAAGGCGAAGAAGATGCAGAGCACAGCAACGGACTTTTCCGAGTCGTGGCGCATGCTGCAAAACGCGCCTCAATTCTTTGTACCCCTGACACTGATGATTAGGGTCTTTTCGGTCAACTGCTTCTTGTAGAGTTCTAGCTTTCTGCGCCCACCAGTCATTATAAGAATTTGTTTGACTCTCGTTTTATTGCGCTTGCAGACGTCCTTGTAGTGTTGCATTACCACCGCATCAGTGTCACGACGCGCGTACGCTTCCTGACGTTCCGCCGATAGCCGAGCTAACTCTACCTCGTTATCCTGTTACTTTGCCTTCCGACACAAGTTCCTCCAGACGAGTAAAATTTCCGAGACCTTGTTATCCTGCCTGAGAGCGGAGACGTTCAACTCCGGAGGGCGGGTCATGGCATTGGAAGCCCCTTGCTGCGCTTTCCCCCCCAGGGCTGCTTGCACCGTCGCATTATACTGAGGGTAGTTCGTACCAGTCTATGATCACTGTCAAAATCCAACCCCGGCCTAACCCGAATATCACGCACAAAAGCAGCAGCGCCAGCAGCAGTAACGACATGATCTATTTGACGCCAGAGTTTGGCACGGTTGCGCTGCCGTGCAGGACGTAGCGGTTGTCCTCTTCCCGCCCGGCAAAATCAAAAGTAGCTTACCGTTATCACTCAGGCATACCAAACCTGCCAAGAACCAGGCCGAGCCTCAAGTCCCTCTTCCACATCCTGCGATCGGACTTCCCGCGATTCCCGAGTTCCCACACGAGCATTAAAATCACCCGTAATTGCTAACTCCTCCCCTGCCCGACGTTGCGCCACCAGTGCCCCTATAACTCCTGATAAAACGCATCTTTTTCTTGTTCTGATGCCCGAAACGTAGGCGCATAGGCTGAAATGACATGAAACACCCGGCCTTCCAACAAAAGACAGATTTTGATGAGGCGTTCATTAACATACTCAACTTCCGAGCCCGCCCTTGCCCAGGCCCTTTGCATCTGCTTGTCCAACACAAAAGCTACACCCGATAACGATACGGGCACCGTCGGCGGTAGCCCGGAGAACAGGCATAAATATGAGCCTAGTCGGATACTTCCTTGTCCTTTCCAACGCACTTCTGACAGTGCCCCTAACGAAATGTTAGGTTGTTCCAGCACCGTGCATACCTCAGAAGGTTTTGTTGGATCTGCTCCCTCAATTACAAGCTCCCCCCCTTGATTGTCAATACGGGTGTGAAAGGTTCTAACGTTGATGGCTCCCCACATGCGCTGAGTGAAATGCTCGGAATCTCTAGCGGTTTTCAGGCGCGCTCCAGGTGCCTTCAAAACTGGCTGTGCTTGAGAATTCCCAGCAGATTGTCGAGTGGTGAATAAGCGGTCTTGGGCAGAAAGAATGAGGAGCAGTATGCTTGCCAGGACATCTCCCCCTTTCGGGGGATCCTATGAGAGATGGGACCCACCGAGGTGGGGACATCCCCCACGAACCCCCCCCCCAGTTGTGTCTACCGTTAGCTGTTGCATAAAAAGGAAAGCACTAATCGACACGAAACCGCCCACATGTAGTCCATAACACACACATCAAAGCAACTTAACAACAGGTACACCCCGACACCTGAGCACCTGGGCCAGCGGATACTCTTCTGTGAGGTGGTAGTCAGCTCCGCCGAGAGCTTCTTCGTTGTCTACAACAACACATCTCGCTCGGCTCTGAAGGTGATTCCGGGGATTCCCACGCGCCCCCCGCCCAACGAGGATAAACTAAAGCAAACTCGACCGTCTTCCCGACCTGCCCGCATGCCCTCACCCACCGTACGTCAAGAAGAGACAGGCAAGTGCCCTTGGCCATAGTGAAGCAGCCATCACTGCAAGCGTCGCCTCTACCATAAACCTTGATCTTTCGGCCCCGCTACCACTCGACAGTCACACCCTTTCCGCACAGAGCAACGGAAGCTGCGCACCACAACGGCCCGGACACCCGAGCCCCTCCCCTGAACTCCGCACCTCCCCACGCCTTCGACCCCTAGTAGCGAAAAACCATGGGCCCAACCACCGCTTTAGATGGCCACCTCAGCAGACCCCAGCGAAATCTTTCCCTGAAAAAAAATGCAGCCCGGACGTATCTCCATGCTGCATCACTCCCCTGTTGCTCAAACAGTTTCATATAGTGTCATCTCCCGCCGACCTCCCGCGCAAGTGCAAGAATCACAAAACACAGCTCAAGCCCCAAACACAAACGCACGCAGCAGCACGGTTGCCCACGCGACGGCCACGGGGAGGCCGACGCCAGTCGGTGCCGCGCCTCGTGAACTGCAAGGACAGGACAGGTCAGGTGTTTGGTTTGGCGACTACACGTACTTGGACCAGCAGAACGACAAGCCCAAACCAAAGAGAAAATGCAAATCCAAGTCGCCCACCTCCCGCTCACTCATCTGGGGAAGGAAAAAGGTATCCATAGCGAGTGTGTGCCTACGGTCACATCGATCTACAAAGGTCCCGGCACATCCCTTGTCGAACAGGTAAAGGCAGAAACATAGCAAGGGGGGTCGGGCTTGCCTGAATTGGTGTTGGCACGTGGCCAAAACACCGCCACAAGGGGTCGTGTCCCCCTGCTCACTTCGGCTAGTCGTTCCAGCCTATCCCTTGACAAGCAAAATCCGACCACCCAGTCAACGGAGACCAAACACGAACCTGCCTTTTTCGTAGAAGCTGTAAACAGGTCCGACTTCGCCGATTCCGAACCAGCTGAAAACGACGACACACTTGCAACCGCATGTGAATAAACGAGTGAGGGTACTCTGGGGTGTGAAGTTACCACAAAAACCTCGAGAAGAACTTGACCGAGGGTATCTTCGTCCCGCAGCCCACCCAGGAAAACTGCCCGACACGACACCGCTTCGAGAGAAGGCGGCAGAGGCACTGCAAGAGCACCCCGCCCAACACCTTCACCCGAAAAAGACACCCAGAAATCGGGACCAGAAGAAAGAGGTGCAATAATTGGCGGATGCCGTTAAGGTAAAATCTGGCGGCACTCGTCACCCTAACAATTCCACAGGCACACCAAAAAGAAATACACCAAGGTAACGATGGTGACACCCCTCAGGGTATGGAGTTGGTCTCAGTAGGGGCACTACCTTACCCCTAGCTGAGTCCCTTCCCTCGCCCGTGGAGGACTCCGCCGTCGGGGAAGCTTGTGAACTGCAAGCCGGCCACTCCGGGGTAATGTAGCCCATCGTGGCCAACATCGCCTCAGGCGTCCGACATCGATTCCCCTCTCGAACAAGCCCTAAAGTGCGGCTAAAGGGCTCACGTTCGCGCCGAGAGGTCCCCGCAAGAAAGGTCCCCGCAATGCCAGTTGTCCAAGGCATCTTCTAATTCTAGCAAAACAAGCATTTGAGGATCCGACGCTAAGAAGAAAATTTAGAAGAAGCTTCGAATCTCTCAGCACTCTCAGCATCTAGAAGAAGCCACCGTCTGCCAACACGTCATATTTCGCGGTTGGAAAGCGCCCCCCGAACGAACAGAAACCCCCTCTAAAGTCTCTAAAGTTTGACAACCTCCTGAACTTCTCTTGGGTGTCCAGTCACAATGCGTCCGTGTTTGAGCTCCGTGGCACGCCGGCGCTGGAAGTTCTCCACGCTGCCGTCCGCACCTGCAAAGGCTTCCGGACTTAGGGGAGGCGGGTTTCGTAGCTGCGCGCCCCTTGTTCATTGGGAGGCTTGTCTCTGCTCTTGGACGTGGTTCGGAACGACTGCAGTGTGTAAAAAGTATCGCGTCTAGAGCTTGCAGATTGCAACTCTCGGTTGTTGCACACGAGAGAACAGAAAGAGCTATCGGCCCGAAACCTAAACCAAACTAAACCCTAAACCCTAAACTGAAAAACCCTAAAACCCGAGAAGGTGATCCATGCAGGGGACTAGTTCGACCAGACCTTCCCTGGGGGCGGACGACTTGGAGCAGTGAGGCTGAGGATGTCCGTCAGGGAAGCCGAGGCCCTAAACCCTAAACCCTTAACCCTTAAACCCTAAACCCTTAAACCCGAAACCCTAAACCCTAAACCTTGAAGCGTTCGGGTTCATGACCCCTGCGCCAACCCCCAGCAAAAAGAGTGAGGGACCATCAACAGCCTTTCAACCCTCAAGTTTCGAGCCCTTAAAGCCTCAAGACCCTGCAAGCCGATGTAGCCAAGTTATGCCAGGTTGCTAAGGCCGGCGGGGTCCCAGAAACCCACGGGCGCCTGCACGCCGAGCTCGCTCTCGAACGCCTGCCGATGTTGCTAAGCCTACGCCTCGTAGGGGAGGGTGATCTTGGCCAATTCTCTTTAGGGGTGAAATTTCTGAAGGTCACCTGAAGACTTACGCCTGTCCTGTAAGGTCAGGGTTTATATTTATTAACTTATTAGTCTGTACAGGGGCTGAACAAGGACGCGGACGTTGCCTTGCAGCGTGATCATGACAGAGGGCGCTGCAGAGAGCACAAGAACTTCAAGACCTGAGAGCCTCCCGCCTTCCAGAAGGAGCTGGGGTTGCCGGCCCAGTAGCCCCAGGGGGATCCAGTGATTCCATCCTGGAAGAAGAGGCCAATGATGCCCACCATGGCCAGGCGGCCGTTGGCAAGCTCGGAGTTCAACTTCTTCTTCTTGATCTCCGGATCGTCGGAGGTGAGCACCTTCCAGCCGAAGTCCCCGTCGTAAGGCTTGGTACCGGGGTCCTGCTTCTGAGAGATCTCGCAGAAGGACATGTAGGCCAAAATCTGCGCCCAGCCTGCCACAGGCACCTTGCTGATGGCCGCAAGGCCGTTCGGGACGTCTGCGAACTTGATGTCCATGGATGGGGACAAGTAGCCTGGGAACTTGCCAGTGATCCTCGGCAAGATTCACACGCATGCAAGCAGAGTCGTTCCAACTTGCCGCTTGGCATACCAGGGCGTCTTACGAAATCAGCTGCCGACCAAGCTTCTCTGGCGTCATGTAACCCATCGTCGCGAGCATCGCCTTATTCACTTTACAACTGTGAGAGCAATTATTCTGAGAGCAAGAATGCAACCCTTTCACCTGTAACTGGAGCGTTCTTTTGTTCAAAAATTGCCCAAAAAGAAGTGTGCTCGTTGCAGCGGAGACGGGTCGCAATTCGGCCGTGCTTGAGCTCGGTGGCACGGCGGCGCTTGAAGGCGTCGACATCACCGTCGGCGGTGAAGCCGATGGGATCCCAGAAACCGAAGGGCGACTGCGCAGAACGGGTTTTGAGGTGATGCGCCTTCCTGCGGTTCCGGGAAAGCCTTCATACCTGGAAAAACTCATTTTTTTGCTTGATTTGTCCTGAATTCGTTCTCCAAGCTGAGCGTTTTGGTGACGGCAGGCCTTGTTCTCCTTAAACCTGTGCGAGTGCGAAGGCAAACAGAAAAAATGAAATGAATGAAACTGAGAATGTCATCAACCTCTAGAGTTTCCACCTCCGAAGACTCTCCGAAGCCTTGGCGTCGCGAACGCAACTTCTGATTCCTCTGAGAGGTCACTGTCGGCTCTGGGGCTCCACTTTCTAGGACACTGTAGGATGCGGCTCGTGGCTTGGCTTGGATATCAGTTTGAACTTTGTTGGCTAATAAGAACATTGAGACAATGAGCAAGCATGAATGCGCGACGCGGACACGCAGGAACGAACTTCCCCCATTTGACAACCACCCCGTGATTCCGAGACAACTCCGAGCTTCAAGCCTCAAGCAAGAGCTGGGACCGAGCAGCTGGAGGTTCCGAAAGCAAAACGGGAAGCCTAAGGTCGTGAGATCCTCACTCGCCACATTTGCTGGAATACCGGCCTATGGTTTGGTTCACTGTTTTTTCTGGAGGACACCAAGAGAAAGACCACCAAGGCTTGACACTTGTTGACTCCAACTGTTTGTTTCGCACATTCTACTTCCAAAGGCCTGGGAGCAAGCCGGCTATAGCTCAGTTGGTAGCAAACGTTAAACAATTCAGACTTCAACGGCCCTCCCAGTTGTCCAATCCCGCTGTTTGACGATAAGACCCCCCATGACCATGCACACTCGCCTTTCCTACGAGAAGCTGCAAGAAAAACGTCATCCAGAAAAACTTCGTTTTGGGCTTGGATGGAGGTGAAGGCACCCAGGAAACCACAGACAACAATAAAGCGGAATGGCTGAGCTTGGATATCAAAGCAGTAGGGCTTCAGGAGGTGCGGCGAGTCTCTTGCAGGCCAATGATGTCAGGAAAACCCTTCGAAAAGTGCCGCATTTTGGTCTGGCAATGTTTGCAAGATGCAAGGAAAAGCGCTGCACCTGAACACCGAGCTCGTTCTCAAAGGCACTGACGACCACCTTCTGGTACTGGGCATGTGAAGGGCTGACTGTGCAGATTCAGGGGCACATATGGGGCACAGGCTGCAGGCGACTTTTGATGCTGTACATTGTTTGGGGGAGCCTCCTTTGTGACTAGGGGTTTAGGGTTCAGGGAGCAGCGAGGGGGTTGTTGTTGGACCTTCCGCAGGTTTGGGGTAGAGGGCTGAGGGATTCAGAGCTTATCGGAAGTTGGGGCTCCACGGCCTTACGGCTTTTGAACCTTTGCGTGAACGCAGGGAAAGCTTGGGGCACCCCATGCCCCAAGACTCTAAGACCACAGTGTGGTTGGCCCCTTCGGTTCAAGACTTTCGGGAAACCCTGCCAAGTGGATATTCAGGAGCTCTTATGTAAGGTTGGAGGCTTCGATTGGACAGACAAGCTCAGAGACGGAGACGTGCTTGTTTGAAGAGTGCTTCAAACGTTCGAAAAAACAAGCAATCTACCTACATGTACCTTCGGAACGCATCCAGCATCCGAGCCCCTGTTGGAAGGGAACCACGGCGCGATGCTTGCACCCTCTTACGCTGATGTTCAAACGAACTCATCCGAAGGGCAGATCATGGCAGATCACCCATAGACCAAAAAAATGCACACGAGGCCTCACATCGCCCCTGAGCCCTCCTGATCCCGTCCCGCCTGGGATTTGCGGCTGCAGCTGGCCTGAGCTTCGGGGCATTGCGAAGAGGGAAAGGCAATGCTTCAGCGTGCAAACTGCATGCAATTTGCACAGTGGCCGCCTAAGATTCTGAAACCCAGAGATTAAAAAAAGACGTATGCCAGACTCAAGGCACTCCAAATTACTTCACGGTCCTCGACCCCTCCAAGACCCCTTCGGATGCATGTTTCTAGATTCCTGGCGGCAGCTTCCATTTGGCACAGGGCTTGGAGTTTGCAGATTTGAAGGGGTTGGATTCTTGGATTCTTCTATGCTTGATATGCTTGTCAGGCTCGGGGCACCTGAACCTCCCCAAAACGCTGCAGTTCCTCCGGCCTAGAAACCCTCCTCAAAGCTTCTGGGGCCCCGGTCCTTGCCACGAAGCTGCGCGGCCAGGAGGGCCTTGGGGACAGGTTAGGGCATCTAGGATTTGGGGGGGTGATTCGCAGTGACGTGTGTCAACTCCCGGAGCCCACCCCAAGCACAGCGCACAGCGTGGTGGCTCAAGGGGAAAAAGAGGGAAAGCGCGGGAAAGCGCCAAAGGAGTCAAGTACCGACGCCCTCCGCCTTCGGACGACCCCTCTTCTGCCACACCTCTGCTCTCCACGTGTTCCGAATCCAAGGACAACTGCACTTTCAACCCAAACCCGCGGACACATGTCAGACACATGTAAGCCACGAACCGAACTTCTCCCCCCTCAGAATGCCAAGCAGCTGATGCCGAAGCCACGGCGGTGCAGCCAACAAGGCTGGAGGAACTGCTGCCTGGTCTGAACCCAGGGGAATTTCTTCGGGAGCCCTTTCTAGATGCATACGACTACATAAGTGGAATGATACAGGCTTGTGATGTTCACGTGGAACGGGACTGCAGTGCTCGCAAAGGGTGCTTGCTGGGGGCTGAAATAACGTGGATTGCCGGCATGCTCTTTCTGACCTTCAAGCGCCCAACTGCAGCTGTTCAGGCTCATGCTCTCCATACAAGGGTCCTCCCCCGTGTCAATGCTCTGAAGTCTTTTACGCTGAAAACCTGGCGGCACAACCCTACGAGTTTGCAGCAGACAGCAGGAACAGATATCGCAACAGCCAGCCATGCAGCATGGCGGATATCATCCCAAACGCTGGCGAGACGGAGAACCCCACAACGGCAGAGGGGCGGGGAGAGGAAGGGAGGGCGAGGTCTTTGCCTTCGGCACTTGTCTGCGCCGCTACTCGACCCCGCAGCTGCACACTGCTTCGTTCCGGGGCAGCCTTCGTTCAAGCAGTCACAAGTTGACCAAGCCTTGGGGTGGCGTGCGCACACGCAACCTAGGGTCGCATATGCAATCAAAATGCGTGTGGAGCCTGTGCAGTGCTATAGGGGGGCTATAGCCTCCTGAAATAAAATCGTGAGTCTCAGCTCAAAAAAGCCCAAAGAGCAAAGCCTAAAATCCAGAGGCCACAAGAGGCCGCAATTGGCCACACCCCCTGGGCCTGACCGGCTGGACTGCTCTGCACGAAGGCCTTGGAGTGAGGGTTGAGAGCAGAAAGGAAGCTTGAAAGGAAGCTTGAACTAGGAACCTTCTCTCAAAACCCTTTTCTTCTTTGTACACCCGAGGGCCTCATAACATGCCCTGAAGCCGTCAACGCAACTCTTCGAACTTCTTCGGTTTCATATCAGACACCCACCCCAAAAACTCTCTCTGCGGCCCAAGTTGCCGTGGAGGCCCATGCGGCTGCCGCACCAGCGGCGACAGCCATGGCAGTCTTCTGGCCTTTGCCGGTCACATTGGGGTTTGAGGGTTAGGCTTGGTTTGGGGCATAGGATGGATTTGGATGGATTGGGACGGATTGGGATGTGAAAATTCTAAATGCAATCTACTGTTATGCTCTTGGCCTTTCTGAGAACATGCATCAGGCGCTGCTTGTTTGCCCTAGGCGATGCTAAGACACGCTGACTCGAGACCACTTTTCCGCCTTCGTCACAAGCTTTCGGGAGGTCACCGTGAGTTGCATTACCAAAACACGCAGCAAAGAAGGCCCAACATTAAAACCCAAGTGTGTGAATACCCTTCCACTGGATTTCCAGCTACCGGCCCATCATCGCTCACGCCAACACCCAACCCCCACCTTCTCTTGAACTCTTGAACTCGATGACTTCACCACGACAGGTGCAGCAGAAACCGCAAAAAGCCCAAGAAACCACTGCCATCAACCGGCCCGGACTCACGCTTTTGAGGCCGCAGCTTGAGGGCATTGTTGCAGCGACTGGGAGGAAAACTAGACCAGTCAAAGTCTGCAAGGGCCACACAGAGCCTGCGGTTGAGGATGGACATAGATGGATGGAGGAATTGTGGAACGACTAGGGCGCTCTCAAGTGCACAAAACCGTCAACCCGGCATCTCGTCTGCATGCCTACCCTGACCCCGTACAGCCAGGGAAATCAGATTTGTTTGTTGAGCTCCTATAGTGTTGAGGCGTCAGGTGCGAACGGCTTGTTTACTACTTACAGCCTGGTGGGGCTACACGTAGGAATACATCAGATTCACACACAAGAGGCTCTGCCAAACATGATCCTGCACTATGCACGATTCTGCCGCGCACGCTCCTCTGAGAACTGAGGGTATCGCTTTGGTTTGAGGGGGAGGTTTTTTTTGGTTTGGGTGGGGGGGCTATCGCCACATTTCTGTCATGAGCATGACATCTTTGCTCTGCCAAAGGAAACCCCCTGCAACATACTAAATGTGATAGCTCACGAAATTATATTATATTTTCTGTTCCCGCCGTGCCCTGAACCGACTGTCAGCGACTAGCCGAAGGCTCCGGCCTTATGGCTCAGGGT